CCAACATGTCGGCCCCCGCCATTGCAGTTTTTAAGGTCTAAAGACCACCTGAACGAAATTTGCTGAACTATCGTTGACACTTACGAACGTTCAAAACATTTCCATGAACTTCTTTGATATTCTTTGTGGCTACAGAGGCATTGTTTCCCTTCTTTTATTCAAACAGCATTACATGCCGAATGTGTATCTCGTCGTGTGCCATCACTGAAAGGGATTAGAATATACTAAACTTTACACATTATATAGGCTACACTAACGTGACATTTAGGCGGTTCGTTTAACTATTATACGTTTTTTTGAGGGGTGGTTAATGAAAGTGTTCCAAAACGCGACATTAATTTCTTGACGACCTAATTACTCTAATATAAAAAAGTGTATAAAACATGGAAGTTTACGTGTATTAGTTACAGTACTGAAATTCTATATAAACAATTGAAATCCACAAGTGCCTAAATGTGAAGTTCAAACAGTTAAATACGGGATGATACAAAAAGTCGCACTCAATGTGGCAGTTCTCTTACAGTAAGGTTTAAATAACAGAATATCAGTTACAATATTATATAAGTACACAAATATGTTTCCCCGAAATCAATACATCCAGAAGTTAACAGCATAACACTTACTGAAGTTATCAAGATAAAATAACTTAAAAAAAAAAGAATAAACGGACTTGTTTCAGTAGGCATGATGCTTTTAATATTGTCTGTGAAAGCTCTTTCAGCGAAAGGGTTTCATTGAATCAGTCAGTAAATAACAAATCGCTTCAAATGCAAAACATTCAGCTGAAATGGCACTTAGAGTTTCTCGTGATTTTTACAAAGCACACTGGATCAACAGGAAAAAACCAGAAAAGAAACTCAATAACCCAAGTGCTTTCGAAAAGTGGATTTTCATTCATCAGGAGCAAAAGGCATGTTTTGCCCTTGATTTTCCTTTTTACCCCTGATGAAAGAAAGTCCACTTTTCTAAACCTTTTAGGTTATTCCACTGAGATATTTCATGTTCCTTCTGACCTAGTTATTAAACAATATTTATAAGTTTAATAATATTTATATGCAATGTTCGCTCATTCTTTCTACATATACATATATATATGATAACATGAAACCACAAATAGTGTATATAATTTTGATTAGTTTCGATAGTCCCGAGTAAATTTACACTTAATTCATATTTTTTTTTATTTATATTTCTTTTGTACCTTGGCGGATTACTGTCGAAGTTAAATTATATTTTGTATTTTGTTGAAGCATTACTTATTGCTTTATCAATAAATAAAAATATTTCAAGAACATCTCCGAATTAGACTTTCTTGTATCGCCACCTGTTGACTAATGTAAGAAGCTTTATAAAGAAAGTGGCCCCAAAAAGACTGTGCTTCTCCGGGTTTTAAGTTAAAAATTAATCAGAAGAGTAACATTGACGTTTCTTGTTTCTGGTGCCCTAACACTTTTTGTGTTGATGAAGAATTATTATTTGATATAATTTAAATTTTTGTTACTTTGCTATACTCTAAATTGAGACAAATTGAAAATTCTCAAACAAATAAAGTGTTTACGGAACTTATATCAATTATCCTTACCGGAGACAGTTTGGTGACTAAAATACACAACACAAATATTAGAGAAAGAAACTGTTAAACTGGTATAAAAAGTCTCAAAATTCTGAAAGTACTTGTTCCTTTGTAATCGTCTCTGATCGGGCTGGAAAAGATCTGACGAACTTATCTTGGATATTACAGATTAATTCCACAACACTCTGTAGTAGTATTTTTGAACACTGCTCGAATTAAAACTGACTGGACATATTCTTATTCCTGAATTAACAAAAACACTAAAAAACTCTGTTTCAAATGTAAATTGGCAAGAAAATTTAGGGCTACATCTTATACGTTAAATAACATGAAACTTTTAT